CACACACACACACACACACACGCGCGCTTGACCGCTCAGGTGCTGAAACGACGTCGCTGTGCAGCCCAGCACGCAGGCTCCGAATTTCAGGAGGCGGATTTCTTGCACCTCTCGAGGAGGTGTTGATCGACAGCGCTGCCTGCTGCTGCTGGATGCGGCACTGCGCCCCTGAGATTCGGCCTTGGAAATTCGCTTCAAAAACTCGCGTTCGCTTCAAGGCTGCAAAGTGTTGGTCTCCAGCGCGTCGCCTGTTGGCTCGATCCTGCAGCCAGTTGGCTTTGCGGGCGAATTCGCCCAAAACCGCACAGCTCAGCGTCGGCGCAGGCCGACCTCGAGCTGTCGCTACTCCTACGCAGCCGGATCTCCTCCGACAAGCGCAGCCGGCTGTTGCTGCATTGGGCTGGCACAACCCACGTCGAAGTTCTCCTTGGGGCGCACCGAGTCGATCGTCAACCTGCGAATCGCTCGACAAACACACTGGGCTTCGTGTCAAGGTGCTCGGATTATCGGGACGGAGCAGAGGGCGAAGGACAGGGCTAAGCAACTGGATCGTGACTGTTTGGTCTACAGAGGAGGATCGGAAAGAAGGAAAACGACAGATACGAGCGTTACAAAGGCTGATGGCGGGGACCGAGATGACGCTTGCGTCCACGCGTCGATCAAACCCAAGAAGCGGAACAACATGCGAGAGACAAAACGAATGCGGAAAGGGGAAAGAGGCAAATGAAGCGATGCGAGCAGAGAATGTAGGACAAAGAGGAGTACGGGCAGTTGCGGACGAGCGGGATGGGCAGGCGAGACCGACTGTGAGCAGCGAGCAGGAGCAAGAATGCGCAGGGGCAGGGCGATCATAGGCGGATGGGATCCTCGCCTCGTGCCCTCCTCCAGCGGTTCGTGGCGCGCAAGATCTCGCCGTCGACCATGTAGGGATACTTGCGGAAGAAGCTCTCCTTGAACTCGAAGCACTCGCCATCGAACACGTCGCCGGCGGGCGACCACACGCGCAGCGTCTGCACGATCGCGTAGAAGAACTCGTCCAGCCAGCGCTGTGCTGGCTTGCGCAGACGGTGCGAGCCCTTGGGCTTCTCCAGGAATCCGTACGAGTAGATTCGGCTCTTGTCCGGGATCACCACGGCCCCGGACGCCTCCTTGGGCTTCCACGCCGACATGTCTGCAACCAAGGCGGTGCGCTTGCGGATGTCCTCGTCGTTGAGCTCGGTCTCCTCGGCGCTTGAAGCTCGGGTACCGCCGCTGTTGCCCTGCGACTTGTCGCTGCTCGACTCGTCCGTGAATCGAGCGGCGTCCTCCTCTGCTTGAGCCAGCTCCTCGATCGCATGGAACGCGCTGAGGATCGTCAGGACGCGGTCGCGCATCGCCGGGTACGGCAACACGGCGATCTCGACCGGGTGGAAGCCGATGCGCATCTGCATCTCGGTCGGCATCAGGTTTCGAGGCAGGTAGAACTCTTCGCCGACAAACGATGGATCTCCGGGGAATCGTGGCAGGTCGTCCATTCCGCCAATGAAGCCGGGAGCCTCGCGGGCTGCGCGCAGGTTGATGATGCCCGACTTGAGCTTTGTCGTAAAAGGCAGAAGCGTGCTAAAGTAGAGACGACACACCTTGTAGAGCACCAACTCGGGCACCGCGACCATCGAGGGGAAGCTCTGCGCGGCTTTCTGGCGTTTCTGGTTGAGCGAGATCTCCCAGGTCGCCTTCTTGCCCGCTTGCGAGTCTGGCTGCGACGGTGCGAGCGAGCTCTTGACCTTTTCGGTCGCCACCGAGGATGGTCCCTCGAATTTGATCGACCTAGAGGCCTGAGTCGAGTCAGCCTGAGTCGCCGCGTTGGCTGAACCTTCTGCGTCTTCTCGGCTGTGCTCCTCGTCCGAGTCCGACGCTGAAGATGCGGCGCCGAAGGCGGGGCCGTCCCAGTCTTGCGCCGACGAAGTCTGAGCAGGGAAGCGATGGCCGATCATACCCTTCCACTCGGCCTCGGCGCTTTCGTCTTCCAGATGCGACTCGATGAGATCGAGGTGGAATGCGCCCGTGAACTTGGTAAGCTGGATGGGAGCCACCTCGGCGCCGTCGGCGCCACGAATGCCGGCGCCGTTCGAAAGGGCGTGGCTGAACTTTTTCATGTCGGCAAGCGCCTTGCGAAGTGCTGCATTCTCGCTCTCAAGCGTCTCCATACGATCCTGCTTCCGCTTTCGTGACTCGCGTTGCGACGCCTTGTTGCGCTCGCGCCTCTCGACACTCGTCTTGAAAGCGGCCGAGGAGGATGCCGATGCGTCGTTGGAGGTCGAGCCAGGATGGAAGGCAGCGCCCGTAGACACTCGTGTGGAAGAAGGCACGCTGCTTGCAGCTGAGCCACCTGCTGGCGAAATGTTTCGTGTTGTGCCGTGGGAAGACGTGGAGTTAGCCGCAGCCGAAACGTCGCCACCAGCGTTGGTGTTGCTGCTGATCGTAGCAGGGGGTGCGGGAGCCAGCCAGGAGTCGATCGATGCGAGAACGGAGCTGGACATGGGCGTGCCAATCACCATGCCTGCGGGTGGACCTGTTGAAGCTGAGACGTAGTGAGGATATCCGTTGGATGTAGCGAGGGCCTCAGGACTGCCCGACATGCGAGCGGACGAAGTGGGCGAGAGAGACCCGTTGAAGCCGGCAGCCTCGGAACCCGCCCGGACGGCGA